CATCCAGAACTTGCTCGTGCTGAGCCAAGAGCACAGCATTTAATGAAATGAGGGCCATAAAAGGCTCAGCATGGATGCTTTCAGGTCTGACCTGGGCTTCTGGGAAATTGAACATTGGCCTGTGGACTGGAGATTCCCCCAGGCTTTGAAAGACTGGGTTATTACCACTTGCATGCGTGAAACAACACTGCTTTGCAATACAGGGACATTTGTTATTCCAGAGATAGCCTCATTTGGAACACTCTTAAGCTAACAATATGGATGGCTCCTTAGTCATCCATCTTCCTGCCTCTCTTTCCTCCCCTCACACCAAATAATTACTTTTGATATTTGTTTGATAAAAATGGTTGTATATCTGTCAAGCTCCTACTATGTAGATTCCTCTGTTTCCTCTCTTCTATTGTTAAACTCTATTTCTTCATGTCAGATAATACTGTGAGTGAAACAGAAAGGCCCTGCCATGTTGTTCAACAACCTTTTTACCAATTATGTTCTGTGTAGACTGGCCATTTCACATTGCAGTGTTGATACATAGTAGATGCTTGATAACAATTTGTTGAATGACTGGTTTGTTAGTAGAAATTTGTTGATTGACTCTTTTCACTCAAGCCAGAATGGGCCAGTCTCATATCCGAATTCCAACTGTGAGAGATTATTCACTATGCTTAGAAAGTGAAATAGTATTTCAGGGAACAAACTGAGAGAATGGAGAAATAGAAAAAGAAATAACTGAATGGAAAGGAGAAGCAGAGAGATATATAATTAGGATGATAACAGAACAACATCTGTAGGAACTTGAAGGAAGTTTGTGTAAATGAGAATAAAGGGTTAGTTAAGGGCTAGGGGATAGGTAAGATAAAGCATTAAAATGGCTTATGAAAATTAGGAAAGAAAAGGCAGTTAACATTTTACTCACCATTTGGTTTTGCATTCCATTTCGTTTTTTTTATTTAATAAAAACAATGCCTTTATGTATCATTGCAGTGTTTTCCAGATTGAAAACTGTGGTTCATTATTGGACTATGAAATTAATGTGGGTCGTGACAAATTTTTAAAAATAATGAAATAGAATAGAAAACATTAGAATGTGTTGCCCTCTCGGTAAGTATTGTCTCATGAAACTTCTATTTATATCTGTGTATGTGCATACATGTGTATATGCATGGATGCCTAGACAGGAAGGCAGGTAGATAAAATGTGGCTTTGGGTACTTGATCACAGGGCTTCCCAAACTTGATGAAATGTACCATGAGTATTGTTGTTTGCAATGTTCACTTATGATTTGAGGTACATGATGCAATTTTAAATCATGAACAGTCCAACATTTGTCACAGATTGGTAGCTATGACACAGATTTGTCACAGATTGGTAGCTATGGTGCCTTCATTGAGAATATGATGCTGAAGCTGAGCTGGGTTATCATCTCTCCTAGGAGGAGGAAGTGTGGTATGACAATGGAAATTAGACAAGGTTACTTTTAAGGTTTCTTATAACTGTGATACTGTATGCTCTTTACAATTATTTTTAATGTAAAAACTAATTTATGTAAACATTTAAAGTAATGAAATCCAGAATAGCAGGAACCTAGGGCCTATCCAGGGCCTATTTTTGAGTCTCGCACTGTTTTAAGCATCAGTGATACATTGATGGAAAAAAAACAGGGCAATATAAAAGTTTCTGCATTCAACAGACACTATGAAAAAAAAGTACGCAAGCAAGTACATAGTATGTGATAAATGCTAGAAAAATATGTGATAAATGGAGAAAAAGCAAATCGGGATAATGGACATGGGTAGGGTAGTATTGGGAGAACCTTAAAACAATTTTAAACTGAATGATCAGGGAAGACCTCACTGATACATTGACATTTGAACACAGAATAGAAGGCAATAAGGGAAGAAGGTCTGCAGGAATGTAAGGGAGGAATATTCAAAGCAGAGGGAGGAGGTGACGCAAAGGATTGGGGGCAGAAGTTAGATGAGGTAACTTTGAAAGTGAGGTTGGGAGAGAAGAGAAAAGGTCACATGATTGATTCTTAGGACACTAGTATTTAGGGATTGGTGAGATTAGGAAGAGTCTGCAAAAGGGATTGGAAAAGGAGTAGACAGTGAAGTAGGAGATGAACGCTGAAAAGTGGTGTCCTGGAACCAAGAGAAGAAAGTGTTTCAGAAAGTAGGGCTTGATAATTTGGGTCTCATGCTACTGTAGACCAAGTAAGATGAAAGCCAAGGATTGACCCTCGAATTTACCAACATGAGGGTCATTGGTGACTCTAAGAGGAGTTAGTATACACACACATACACCTATATTTATAGAGCATATATACATATTATGTATTGTGTGTAGTGTTAAAAAATATGTATAATATAAATACTACTGTAGGGTGTATAAATATCTAGTATTGATTATATTAGACGTATGTGTATATCTACGTGCATGTGTGTGTAAATGCGTACATGCGTGTCATTATAGAGATGTGTTTACCATCTCTCTACTTGGCAGTGCAATAATATAGCAAATGGTTCTTATATCTTCATAAATTCCTTTTAAAAACATTTATTCTTTTATAATTGAGAAGTGTTGGAAAACAAATTATAAAGAAAAAAATAACAGTCCATATTGCAGTGGCAGTAGATAACCAAGTTTTTTCCTATGCAGATAGATGGGACGGGGGTGGAAGGCAGGCAGGTAATAGGTAGATGAGTAGGTGTCTGAATATGAGTATAGAGTGTATGTTACATATTGAAATGTACTGTATACGTAAGCTTTTATGCCTAATACTGTCATATTCTCACATGATTAAAAGTCTGTTTCACCACTGTTTTATATAATTCTGTGATTCTTAATTAAAAAGTACAAAAACAGCATATATATTATATATATATATATGTATGCATAACTAATTTAGCAAACACCACTTGGTAGACTGCATCTTTCTTCTGTGTTCTAATATAAGTAAAAAGCAGTATTTTATATATATATATGTATATATATACATACACACACACACCAAGTAATTCAGTATTTTTCACTTTTCATACTCTGTTCGTCCCTCAAAGTTTGCATTTCTGCCTCTGAAAACTTAGCTGCCGTATAACCAGAGACGTAGCTAATACAATACATAGCAGACTTCCTTAGGAGTTCATTCTGACCAGCTCAGTGCTCTGTCGTGAGCCTTTGAGCACGAGACCCAGTTGATTGCAGGGACTTTTACTGCCACCCCTTCCTGGTACTTAGGAACCTATCATCAGGCAGCACTCACTGCAGTCCACATTGCCTCTCTAGACCCTGGTTGCCTTGAACTGGACTGCATTTGACAATTGTTGGTTCAGGGCAGTGGTGTTCACCTAAAGGTGATTTTGACCCCTGGGGACATGTGGCAATGTCTAAGGGCAGTTTTGGTTGTCACAACTGGGAAAGGAGATACTACTGGCATCTAGTGGGTAGTAGCCAGGGATTCTGCTAAATATCTTTCAATGCATAGGACATCCCCCATAAGGAATTATCAGGCCCCAAATGTCACCTGTGCTGAGGTTAAAGAAAGCCTGAGCTGCTTTGTATCAAATAACGGGATTTGTTTCTTAGGTAGTAATATAATGAGTTAGTTAAAAGAGCTAACCTGTAATAGATTTATTAAATTAAGCAGTAAAGTTTAATTTCTTTGAAACTACCCCTTGTCAAAATCTTTACAGCTAACTTCACTTACAGTGAAATTAAATGAAGGAACTATTTCTCTAAGGCTAGACATGGACTTTCTCTACTTTGGGAGGAGTCGAAGATGCCATGTCAGTGGATCTGGCTATGATCAGACCTCTTAATCCTGTTTTAATTGTGGGTTCTTTGCTACTTCTGATTTTATAGTTGTTATTTTGTGACTGACATTCAGACATTCACGATAATTTTTAAAATACATAATTTTACATAAGTGTCCCTCACAGTGACCTTAAGATGAGAGTCTCTAGACATAATTATAGAGCAGAAGGAACTACCGACCTGGAATGAGTTGGTGGTTTCCAGGGCTATCTCATTTTCAAATTTTTCAGTTAAACACTGGGGCAGAGTTTCACATTTCTGCAAGCTCGGGAAGGATGCAGGAGGGGCACCTATACACTTTATCATGTGGACAGCACTTTTCTATCCCCACTTCTGTATATTTGAAAACACTAGGGACCGGATATGATTAACCACATGCTTCTCCCTGGAGACCTGAACCCTAATTATGCCTTTTGCTACCATACTCTGTAATTTTTTTAGAACAGCTAGGCTTATGGCTAAGTGTCATTTGTCAACAATGACATGAATATTTGTTGTGCATTACCATTTTTGTTTAGGTTCAAAAACCAATTGCCAGTGAGTTATACTATCCAAAGGAGCAAGCTTAAGGCATGAGTTTTGACAAAGTGAAATTTAATTCAGTGATAGCTGTTAAAAATCACATCTCTAACTTTAAAATCAACAGTTTATTTTTTCAGTGTTCGGTATCCTATTGACAGTCTTTATCAATAGCCTTGCTTCCACGGTAAACGATATGTTTTAAATTATAGAAGCCAAATATTCCCGAAAATTTTAGAACGTTTCTACACTGAGCTCCTGTTTCTTCATCTGTAAAATAAAGGTGTTGAGATCACATTGTCTCTAAGGTCTTTTCTGGTACCTAAGATTCCCTAAGTAACGTCCAGTCTCTTTAATTATTGAGAATATCCTGCTGAATTTTCAAATACTTTTCGAATGTTTCAAATGGTAGGAGAGCCTTGCCAAAGAATCCGCTCTGTTGACCATCATCAAATATTATTCCCAGGAACCTCTCCCTTCCATTCCATCAATGTGATGGTGGCCCCTGCAGAGAGAGACCAGCCTTTGCCCACCCGGAGCAGAATTACAGCTATTAGAGGTCCAGTCATCCCATCTTGCCAGTTGCATCTGTGTTTGGCCATCTGAGTGTATAAATATTAATCTGCTTTCTCCTCCTTTACTCCTTTCATGTGTATTTCCAACAGAAAGGAGAACCTGACTGCTACGCACTCTCCCTGGAAACAACTGAGCAACTCACCTTCGAGATCCCCCTGAATGATTCTGGTTCTGCTGGTCTTGGGGTGAGCTTGAAGGGGAACAAATCTCGAGAAACTGGAACAGACTTGGGGATTTTTATCAAATCCATCATCCACGGAGGTGCTGCTTTTAAGGTAGGTAGGGGTGATGTTTGCACATCAATGAGAAGATATTTAGAGATGTCATCGTTGTGCCTGGGGATTGGATGGAGAAAGTGTCTGAAGGCTTGAGACCACTGAGGCTTTCCTGCCAGACGCAGGGAATGTATGTGTGAACAGATCTGGGTGACAGTTTGTTTTCATACTTTAAGTGGTCATGTCCTATTGATAGTTCTTAAAACTCACCATGATTAATATTCTCTTTTACATTATTTTTAATTACTGTTAGGATTCTTCTGAGTTTGTAACCTAATAAAGTTGAACCTAAAAATATGAAATCAGAAAAGCAAAACTAAAAACAAGTCAACATCCAAGCAACAAATAAGAAACTATACTTCTTGTGCTTGTAAGAGTGAAAGTTCAGTGGAATCGGAGAGACTGTAGTACAAATTAAAAGTCATTTATCACATTTTATACACTGGAAAGTCCACTGGGAATGCATATTTGCCTTTGAACTTAGAGAAGCTTATAAATTTCCAGATAAAAGGAGAAGAACGTGATTCTGCTCTTTCATACAGAGGCAGGCAACATGATCATCGCTGTTACCATAATATAATGGTTAACTAGATTTGCCTGAGTTCACATGCAACTCTACCACCATGTGCTCCAAGTAGCGCACCATTAATAATAATACCTAATGTGTAGGGTTCTAAGGATTGAATACAGTAATGTGCACAATGTGATTAAAGCAGTGAAGTGATTACAGAGAGGGGGGAAAACACCCCCTCTTGTGCTTATCGTCAGCTGTCCTCACCATCATCATCGTCTCATGCCATGCAGTGAGGCTTCCTGAGCTCGAATCCTGCCCTCACTACTCTCACCGTGGGTGAATGTAGGCAACTTACTTGTCCTCAGTGTGCTTGAGTTTCCTCATGTGTAAAATTAGTAAAATTAGTAGTGCCTGCTTCCTGGTGCTCTTGTGAGGACAAAAAAAGACAATAGATATAAAATGCCTAGCACCACACCTATGATAAACGTTGAATACATGTTAGCCATTTTAAAATCATTTTGATATTAATAATGTGTGCCTTCTCCCACTCAAAAGCCACGAAGGCATAGTTAGAGTTTACAGGAGGCCCCCCTGGTCCAAGGATCCTGGCTTTATTGAAGCATTTGTTTCTTCACACTTAATCATTCCACTCTTGCTTCAGACATAGACACTGAGCTAATGTCTTTTTCTTTGGGAAAGAAGAAATGCGTTGGGGATAGATAACTCTTTAATGCACTCCTTGGATCAGTTAGCTTCTGTTGCATATAAGTAATGACAACATTTCAGTAACATACATCTGTAAGCCTTTACTTCCCTCGTGGCCCTGCAGGGCAACTAGAAGGGCTTTGATTCAGGCTGGTATGTCTCTATCGCACCATAGATCTACAGGTCTGAGCGTGCTCCACATATTTTAACTACACCTTGGACTACCAGGCTAGCTGATGTCAGAGGGTCATGAAGCCTCTTTAGTTCTGAGTTCCAAACTGGCATGCTGTCACTTCTCACACATACCAGTGGTCAAAGCAAGACATATGACTGAATCCAAGGTCCATGTTAAGGAATAGGGAAACAGTCCACCCATGATGAGTCTATGGCAAAGGTTTGGGTACAGAGAAGGGTGAAGAATTGGGGCCAATCATCCAATCTATCAAACTCTCCAATCAGGCTCAGAAATGCAGAGCCAGGAGCAGATGGGAAATGATAGTAATAATAGCAACAACAGCATCAGTTAACATTCATTCTGTCTTGTGCTTAATATATGCTGGACTGTATAATAAGTATTTTAGGTGGATTCTCTCATTTTATTCTTCACATTCACACTGCATTATAATCATGCCATCTCTTCGGGAGAGATTGCAGATTTCAATGATTAGTGCCTCTCCTATGGTCACAAAGCCAGGAATTGCTTAAACTAAGATTTGAACCCGGGCAGTCTGACTTTGGAGCCTGTGCTATGCTGTCCTGTGACAGAGCTCTTTCATCTCATCTATTCATATTTCCAGACATCAGGGGCTGTTGTCCTGGAGCTGTCTTATATCATGCTTATCATCCTGAGCCCAGCCATCTAAACAAGTGCTATGTTTAAGAATGCGTCTTGGTCATGTTTGTGGATACCAACTTGACATTATTCTTCTTATTCCTAATGACAGCTCTATTTACAGAATTTATTCCAAGTAAAATTGAAACGGAAATGAATTTTTGGAAATTAAAAGCAAACATCTTAGCTTTTTTATGCGCAATAACTTAAGCTCAAACGATATTGGAGAGCAGGTTTAATATGTATATCCATGTTTGTGTAAGTGAGCATCTCCTTACCTAAGCAGTTTCTAACGTCCGGTTTTTTGCAGAAAGGTTTCACTTTCCATTTATGTAAATTTCTTTTTTGACACTGTTTGCTGAGTCAGACAATCACACCATTAAAAACTACTGGACAGCATATTTATAGCTGATCTTAAATAGTAAGAGGCATCAATCATGAATTTAGCCTTATTGTGAATGTGTAGTATCCATTTGTCTCGTTTACTTTCTGCAGCATAGAGGGTAGAGACCTAAGCTTTGCTCCCAAGAAATCTGATTAACCAGGAGAAAGAAAAGTATTTTTCTATCCTCCTTCTGCTGTTCCAATAATCCACTGTTACTCCTCAGAAAATTGCCACCTGTTCTGTGATTGAGGATTAGGTTTTACAAAAATCGTTTTGAGACTTTGTTCCTGTCCTTGTTCAGAAGATACAAATGTAACAGACTGCACTGTCCCTGGGGCAGAGGGGAGATAAGCGTGGGGAACATCCACTTCAGCATGTGGCCAGAGGTTTTTACCTGAAATCAACAAAATAATCTTCCTGCCAGGGCACACTCTTTTTCTCCTGGCCCTTCCTACCACTAATTGGTTCTCAAGGTGTTTTCCCCTTTAGGGAAGGTGGATTTTTGGAAACTAAACTACTTTGAAAAGTATGACCAAATTCTTCCTGTGGCTTCTGTGTGCTCGATTCTCCTGGGGACTTCCATTGGTGTAAACAAAGCCAGGCTACTTCTTGCCAGATGTAAGACCCCTGGATGACTGTGACTATAATTAAGGGCCTTCTTCCCCCCCCCCCGCCCCCCCGCCCCTTACCTCTCTGGCTGCTGCTTTCTATCATTCCATCTCTTATTTGAGTCATTTCTAATAAAGATATAAATCTCTTTGAAAATAAGAGCATCTAGCTACCCTAGAATTCCCTCTTGGAAGTGAATCCCTCACCCACTCTAAGGGCAAAATAACAGTATTTTTACTCTATTCGGAATTATTCAAATGCTTAATCTCATCTTAATATTTAAATTCCAGTCTGCATGTCAAGAAGTAAAGCCCAGACACTCTTCCCTGCTACTGGCAGGTCACAACAATTGCCATTTCAGGCTGCGGTAGCCTATGGAGTCCTTTGTAGAGCCCTCTGAAACATCCTTTTGAGCTATGCTTTTCAGTGTACAGCCAAAGTGACCACTGAGCGTAACAGCCAAATGTGGATTAGAGTATTGATGCTGATTTGCTTAAATAATAACATGCCTTAAATGTGCATAGTTCCATTTTAGTTTCTGTCATTCTTCCTGGGCATTTGCCCCTGAATGTGTAGTGTAATTACTTCCAGAACCAAATTATACTAGATGCAACTATGTATGTTAACTTTCTCATGAACTGGGAACTATGAGTGGAATGAAATTAGGATTTCAGGAGGGTGCTTTTCTAAAATTTCATTTTTGTGATCGGAATTTAAAGTGAATATGTTGTTGTTATAAATGAAATGGTATATTGTCTTTGTGCAGTTAGAAAAATAATAACTTGAGAAAAATGTTCTCCTTTCCCAAAATCTACATAAAAATACGTTTTTTCTTTTTCCAAGGAAGCACACATAAAGTCTAGACGATCAGTTTGAAGACCTAACATAATTTCATCCTCATGTGCTAAACATTTTGAATTCTGGGATCAGTGGCTTTCTCTTCTTTTTTTTCTCTTTTTTTTTTTTTTTTTTTTTTGCGGTACGCGGGCCTCTCACTGCTGTGGCCTCTCTCGTTGCGGAGCACAGGCTCCGGACATGCAGGCTCAGTGGCCATGGCTCACGGGCTCAGCCCCTCCATGGCATGTGGGATCCTCCCGGACCGAGGCACGAACCTGTGTCCCCTGCATCGGCAGGCGGACTCTCAACCACTGCACCACCAGGGAAGCCCTCTTCCTTTGCTTTTGACATACTCTTAACTGAATGTTTTTTAGAGAAAATGCGTTTTTATGTCTATCGACAATACTAACAAACTGCTTATTTTTCTACCTTAAAAATGAATTACTTTTAGAAAAATATATAACTAGAATGGTGATTTTTTTTAAAATTAAGGTAGAATACTAACACCCTTTATAGTAAGAATAAAAATTCCATGGAGTCCGTTGTACTAATTCTGAATGATGTTTTTTAATTTGAATATACTCACTTTGGAAGTGTAATGCATTCTATTGAAACCTTGAAACAATAATGTAAAAATTAAAATTTAAAGGCAGTTTTTGCTATGGGAAAAAATGTCATATGTCAGGTAGATTATTTAAGGGCTCTTAAATAGAGAGAATGAATTTAAGAATACCTTTTATTCTCTAGAAAATTAATTAGCTAGGTTTGTACTTAACAAATACTACTTGATGATGATGAAATTAAATGAAAGAAAAATGCCTGACATAGCTAATTGCAAATGCATGCACTCAGAATATAAAATAGACATAATTTAAGTAATTTGATTCTTGTATGCTTAGGAAATTTGGAATACAGCCTCTGAGAGATGCAGAATTGCATGATTTATGCCATTTAGTAATAGGTTAAAAAAAATTAAATGGTACAAGCAATCCCCCTATTTTAAAATGACGAAAAGTATGCATTTTTGGAGAGAATATGCACAGTCCTAGAATTTCCGGGAACACGGTGCTTGGTACTGAATTTCTGTGTCTGTTCATAGTATGGAACATTTAACAGCC